ATTTAGTACCCATAATTTCTCTCAGTGCTGTTTTTCTCACACTTGACTTTATTGATGCTTGGCTTTTTGACCAGCAACCAAGCACTCGTTCGCTTCCGATTCAGTTGCTTCTGCTTCTTGCTCGCTTTATCGAATTAACTGATTTTCATCGTATAAACAAATGAAAGCGCGCTCGAAAATAAATAAACAAATGGAGTTAAATTTAATTTCATTAAACGGCTGCCAACGACGACATCTAATTGAATATCGCTCACGATGTCAGCGCCAGCGCCAGCGTCAGCGCCAGCGTCAGCGCCAGCGTCAGCGTCGTCGTCACCGTCGTTGTCATCGCCATCGTCGCCGTGGCTATAAAATTCACTTGACAACAGCTGCTGCTCGAAGACAAACTGAATGCAAAACATGTTTGAAAATACCCTGTAAAATATTAAGCTTAAATATATATGTATATGAATATAGTATGGGAAGAAATTCATTAGATCTATCATAAACAAATAATTGTTCGATGTAGTTAAATGAGTTGTTTGTTCGACTGATTGATCGACTAACTGAATCAATACGCAGACAGTTCAAGCTGATGGAGTTGAAATTATTTTTCAAGTGCAATTTTTGTTGTGCTTCCAGTTGTGCATACCTCTCTGCTTAATACGATTTCTAGGGCATAACAATTGCTGCATTCCTTAAGTCTCTTTCTTGCTCTCTATCACAGTCTCTCGCTCTTGCTCTCTCTTTCTCTTGCTCTTCGCTCTGCCCCAGCTGCAGCTTGTTAAAGCGGCTTCAGCGCTTGCCGTGCATCAAAGCAAAATTCAATTAAGTTGATTGCAAATCGTGTCATGTGTATGGAAAAGAAATTTTAATGAGGCAGATGGAACTAGTACAAAAATATGTTTATTATAATTATTATATTATTATGTGTGCTTTTATTATTCAGTGACACATGACGTATGTGTAATATGCAGTAAAAAAATGGAATATATGTAAAAAAAAAATTGTATTTCATATTTTCTGTTTATAGCTTAAAGTAACCGATAACGAGCATAACTAGAATGCTAAGCGAACATATTTATTTCTAAATATATATGAGTAATAAACTTATAAATATATAAATGAATAATAATGTAATTCAATTGACTTGCGTTACGTATACGTAATGGGAAATACTTGAGCTAATTGCTGACTAAGTCAGTTTGTTTTGCTTAACCTTTTGTTGAGTTAAGACAAAACTGTAGTTTTCTCTGCACTTAGACTTCATTCTGTATGCATCTATTTCTGGCTTTCACAAATAACTGCACATATTACAGCTAGGAAAAATACAAAATCAATTGTTCAAATATTTTGCTCTTTCAATGATGGAATTTTCATTTTGCACATTTAATGCCTTTGCGGCTCACTGTAGGTGTTGTTGTTGTCGCTGTTCGTGTTGTTGTCATCTATTGGCCAACTCTTGTTGTCCGGCTAATTGAGTTTGTCAGCACGTCCCTGATGTTGGCCATCACTTGCATTTTTGTATTGCCTTTTGCGCTCTACACACGTCTGCTTTATATGCTCTATATAATTATTTTTTGCCGCACTCTCAATATAACTAATATATATACATACATATGCACGTATATATATGCATGAGTATATCTGTTACTCACAGTGCAGCTCACTTGAATATGTTAATATGAATAAATTGCTAATTAAATATATATAAATGCTGTCTTGTTTCTATGCAACTGCCTATACAATAAACATTTGTTGCTAAAAAATTCACTTTTTATCTTTTTTATTGTTTGTCATTGTTGATGATTTATTTTTGTATTTACGCGTAAATATATTAATTAATTTACAAAACAGACGCTGCACTTGTGACGTTTGATAGCCACAATAACAGAAGCTTTAGCACGTTTAAATTTTTAATCAATCGAAATGTAGTTTTTTTTTTTCTAATAAATCCGTTCAGAAAGGTTTCATGAGTTTCATGAGTTTCATTGCTGTAGCAATCGCAATGGCAAATATATTATCTATATTTTAGCATATTTAGTCTAGCATAATCGCAGATATTCTGACTGTTGTTTTTCTAAGATTCTAGAATAATAACCTCTAATTAATTTATTGAAGCACAAATTGCCTTCGCAAAGCGGAACAGACTGATACAATACGTGACTGTTAGTTAACAGATTCTTAACAGCGCCCCACAGCTTTAGCGCTTTGTCAATTTCTTTCTTTTATTATGTTACGACTGTTTGTCTATGTTTTCTAGCGCTCACTCACTCAGACTCGCTCGCGTTCTATACTGCCACTCGCTCGCTCTCACCCACTGAGTGTATAACATAAGGCCTCTGTGTACATTTTAATGGCAAATCTGCTGCCATTTGCGGCACATTTCGCGTACAATTTTCATTTTTGTTATGCCCACATATTTATTTTCATGGCTGGTTCGGCATCGGGCAGTGTGTATGGGAATGGGGGAGGAAGAATGGGAGCTGGGGTGGTCGTAGCATAACGTCGCAAAGGGGCGCACTTTACATTTGTTTTGTTTATTTTGGCGTGAGCGTTGCCCAGAACTGCATGAGTAGAGAGAACGAGCGTATGTAGGCGAGAGCAAACTGAACGAGAGAGTGAGAAATGTGAGTGCGAGTGTATGAGTGAGTGAGGTGGTGGTGAGCAGTTGCTGGTGTTGGCATGCCATTTCCCGTTATCAGCGGCAGACTTTCTGCCAACCTGCTGCCAGCTGCCGCAGCCGCAAACCGTCAGCGACGCGCGTCAACGCAACGGCTCAACAGTGACGTCGACGTTGTCGCTATTGCCGTCGTTCGCTCTCTCTCGCTCTCGCTCTGTCTGTCTGCCTCTTGCGCTGCTGACGTCGCTGCTAATTTTGGATATCTAAGCGAACAGAAATATTTTTAGCTTCGCTTTGGCCGTCGCGCACGGCAGCCACATGCAGATTTTTGCAATTGTTTGCCTTTTTTGGCCGCTGGCGTCGACGTCGGCGCTGTCGCTGTCGCTGGCGCTGGCGTTGGCGTTGACGTTGCCTTTGCTGTTGCTGGTGCTGTTCTTGTCATTGTTTTTGTTGTATTTTTAGCCAGTTGATTTATCATTCCAGTTGCATTCACGCTGCATTTGTTAATCAGCCTTCTCTCTCACTCTTTCTCGTTGCAGGTGAGTTTCGCTTTAGCGTTAACAATGCTCAATTTGTAAGCTGACAAGTACGTAAGTAGCGTAAACAATAATCAGAGTGAATTGAAGATGTGTGCGTATATCGGAAAGTCACTAAATTGGATGTATTTGCAGTAATTGGCAAATAGTTAATTAATGCAGAGAGCAAATAACATGTAAAAGGCCTAGAGGATCATTTAATTGTTATTCATTTAATTATTAATTAGTTACTTCCTAGTATGCTGTCACTTAATCAAATCTTAAATTGAAAACTAATCGTAAACCTCAAACCCTTGCTAACAAATCTCAATTTAACTACCATATAGCCACGCAGACGTACATACGAATGCAGGGTGGGAGTGGGAGCGAGAGACCAACACAGATTTAGAATTGTGTCATCGCGTAAGCAAACAAAGTCTGTTTCCACTTATGTGTGTGTGCGTGCATTAAAAGCCAAGCCGAGTCTAGACGAGACGAAGCGAGACGTTCAACGGCGAAATACCAAACGCAGCAGCAAAGCAGGCGACGTCTCTCGCTCCCACCCCAAACTCGACGCCCGCACACTTCACTGCAAGCGCCTGGGCCAGCTGCGCTGTTGCAGCTGCGTCGCTGTCGGTGGCGCTGCTGCTACTGCTGTTACTGCTTCGACTTTATATTCCTTCTTTACATTTTTCTTAGACACCATTTGCATTTATAGTTCTTGCTGTGTTGTTGTTGGTTTTGTTTTTTCAGTTCCCAGATTTGAAGTGTTTACATATTGCGTTTGAATTATCGTTCAGCTGGTTTTTATTTTCCTCTTTGATTTCTGTATATTGTTGTCGATTGGTTGTTGTTGTTGTTGTATGTGCTGCCTCTTCACTTTTATATTTAAGCTAATTTTAGTATTTAGCTTTTCATTTGCATTTCAATTAGAAAATATACATAAATGTAGAGAGTGTTGTGGACTGTACTTTTCGTCTATATTGTTATTTGTGCGTACGTGAGATCTTGTTGAAATTCGTTTTTAAAGGCATTCCGGAATCGAAACACAAACAACAGAGACTATTAGCAGCGTTAACTTAAAAGATTCTTAAAAGTTACCAGAGCTGTTATCTTAGCTTAACTTAAGCTAAGTTTGGAAATGTTCTCTCTTGCTGTTAACTGCAATGCTGCGCTGACCTCGCTCGTAATTTAACAGCAATTAGCTTTAAAATGCAACTGTTAACTAGTGATCGACAGGCGGCTGCTGCTGTTATTAACAGCGAGCCCCAAGCTCAGCTCTCTCTATATCTTTCTCAAATTCGCTGCTCTGCTGCGCTGACCTCGCACTTCGCTGCTTTTCGTTCAGTTCAAGTCTAGTTTTATGCGTCGCAATTGAAACCCAAGTTTGCTCAACAACAGCAACAGCAGCGAAATCCCTTGAAGCGTTGCGTTTTTTAGCATTGTTTATTTTTTTTTATTTATTTTTTTTTTTCGCTTCGGCTTGTTTGATTTGGCTTGCTCACCTTCGGCTCAACGAAAGGCAGCGACAGCGACAGCGACGCGGCAGCGCCTCGTGCTGTTACATTTGAATGAGCACGTCGCTGCTGCTGCGCTGCCTTTGCTCAGGGGAAGATGGCGGGCAACGGTGTTGTTGTCGCTGTCGCTGTCGCCGTCGCCGTCACCGTCGCTGTAGTCATTTATCACCGGCCTCTTTTTGCCCAGTTGTGGCTCGACCGTTCATCCGAACACCCGCCCGCCCGCTCTTGCCGTAAATACGATATTAAATATTTGCCATAGAATCGTCGTCAGCAGCGACGTTTGCATTACCGCCAAATGTTGTCTGTTTATCTCGCCTAGTTATTGTTTTGCAATAGCCAAGGGAAGTGGGAGGGAGACAAGGGGAGGTTGGCGGCCAGGCAAGACGGTGGTTGCTGTTAACTTTTTGTGGCATTGCCAGTTGATTGGATTGCCAAGAGATGAACCTGTGTGCGTGTGTGTGTGTGTGTCTCCTTCTGTGTACGGCATGTGATTTATGAGTCCCCAACGTTGATATCGTATATACATACATATATATAGAAGACGATATACAATAGATACATTGTGATTAGCCAGGAGGGTGCTGCCAATAGAAACCAACTTGCAGTTCTTCAGCCTCCATGTGAATTTCGCAGTTCTCACGGATATACATGACTGCGATAAGGGTAGTTAGCTTCCCCTAATGTTTTCATATGTGTACTTTCCGGGTGGACCGATGATCAATATAGGGTTAAAGCTAAAGAAGATGTGAGTCAAATATAGGAATAGAGGTATTTAACTGAAATATTGAGGATAGATGAAGAGCAAAGGACAGGAACTTCCACTTGTAAGAGTAGCTTTTCTTATTTTCAAAGTTCATTTTTCTCAAACAGATGGTCAAAAGGCTCTAGAGAGGAATTTCAAATGATTTCTCAGGGGTAGGAAAATATTTTGGTAAAACTTAATGAACGGGTCTTTATAACAGTATCTACATATAACTCTTGACTCATATAATACTAATACTATACGATTATATGGACTTTTGAATTTAGTTAGTTCCCCGACAATCGGGAGGATTTTGGATTATGAAAAGGGAACACCGAAAAAGGGTAAAATTTAGAGATCGTAACAGGCGCTGATATTATGTGTGTGGAGTAGCTCGTTTCGATCTAATTGTTTTTTCATAACTTTAGGCAACTGCAGAGCCTTGGGAAGTCATACAAATTTCTAAATATACAAAATCCCTTATCATATTGCGCAAAGTTCTCATCAATCAGAATGCAAACGGCTGCCGAGCAGTTATTCACTTGCGGCTTCGAAGTCTTCGGCGAGGTGCAGGGCGTTCGCATGCGCAAGGCGACCCGCTCTCTGGCCCTGCTGAACGGGGTGCGCGGCTGGGTGATGAACACGGATCGTGGCACTGTGATTGGCGAGCTGGAAGGCACGCTGCCCAAGCTCAACACGGTCAAGTTCTGGCTGCTCTGCTACGGCAGCGAGAAGGCGGTCATTGAGCGAGCGACTTTCACGCCCACCCGGGAGATTCCGGTGCACAGCTTCGACAACTTCACCATACGTTATCATGCGTCGGATCGCAGGCTGTCTGTGATCTAAGGAGAGATCGGCCAGGTGTATTCTGCTATACGGTTTTTGGCGTTGACGAAATTCAAATTCATTGTTAATCGTTACTTTTATTTGTGTCTGTGTGTGTGTATTGGGATTACAATTAAAACCTGCTTTAGATCCTGAGTAGCTCGGACAACCCCCACCTCCTGCTCTTAGCGTCATTTATTAAACTGCCAGTTACTAATTAAGTATCTAGCTATGTTTGTGTGTGTATATCAAGCTGGACAGACACCTGCAGCCTCTGGCTGTGCCGCATTTCCAGTTGAGCGCCTGGCAATGAGTTTTTACGAGCCAACATTGAAGCAACAGCGACAGCCACAGCTACAGCCGCAGCCACAGTCAACAGAGCCATAGAAATGGCTGCCAGAGTCGTTGCCTCCGCCCACATCTTCGCCACTCAGATTGGCTCATTTCTCTCTCACTCTTTCTGGCACTACGTGACGAAAGCGCTGAGTAACGCAGGTCCGAGTACAGGGTATGGGTAGTGCGTATACAAAAGGTGCTCATAGAAGAGTATCAAGCATAGCATAGCATATAATATTTATAATCTTGTAATCTATCTACCTAATAGTCTAGCTATTTAGAAGACTTTCATTATTCTAAGCCCATTACTGCACATTCTTTGCTTATTGCCAAGGTCAAGCAGGTCACTAGGCCAAGAGTAATACCTACATATATCTAGAATATATAGATATGATTTTAGTATACTTTATATGATTTAGTAAACTTTCCAAATTAATATAATTTGACTATAATCTCATTTAAAATATTCTTATAAATTTATTTCTTTTCATTTTAAACAACTAAGTCAAAATATCATTTCAACATTTTCACACTCAAATACTTCCTATAAAAATGTTCATTAGGGTATCTGTATATTCAATATTTGCCAGGGTATCTGTAAGTCGTATACTCTCACTCAGAGTGCATATTTTATGTGTTGCTCATGTTGTTGTTATTGTTTTTAAGTACTCAATGCCCTCCATGGGTCGCTGGGTACAGCGCGCCGTCGACGACGACGTTGGCGCTGACGCTGACGCCCATGCACTGCGCATAATCACAACAAAATCAAATAAATGAACGCCACTGACAATAACAACACCAACAACGGCAGCAGCAAAACAGCAACAACAAGAAGAAGAACAGCTATAGTCGCAAAAGCAGAGCAACGTCGCGACGCTCGCTTCGCGTATTATTTGCGCGCGCGTCTGTGTGTGTGTTGGCAACTGCGTTGCGTGCGTAACAGGCGCAAAGAGACTGAGAGAAGTAACCGCAACAGCAGCAGCTCCAACATTTTACATGCTGTTGCTGTTGCTACTGCTGCTGCTGCTGCTGCTGTTGATGTTACAGCTGCTGCAGCAGTCGCAAACCTGCTGCTGTCGCTGCTGTTTGTGCGGTATTTTTATAGGTTAAACTGCAGAGTGCGTGGCAGAGTGGGCCAAGGGGGCAGAAAGAGAGAGAGAGAGAGAGAGAGCGAAAAGTTAGAGAGAGGGTGGGAGTGAGGCTCTCGTGCTGAAGCTTGGCTGACTGTGGCTCTTACTAGTTTCAGCCGGCCGGTGTCGTTGGCATTTTGCTAGCGAGAGCAGCGTCGGCAAAGAGCGTAACAGAGAGAGAGAAAGAGCTAGCGAACGTGAGAGCGTACATTTTGCACTCAACTAGCTTACACTGCATTAGCTCTCTCGGTCGCGCGCTCTACTCTCTCGCTGTCGCTTTTGGTGCTGCCCGGCTTTGAGTGATTCTTGCCCTGGGCTGCTGTTAAAGCTGGCAGGAGCTGCCAGCCAGCTTAATGTAGCATTCCTTTGCGCATTCCGCGCGCGCGTTGCCAGCCACGCGACGCTGCTGGCAGCGCAGTCAGCAGCAGCGTCTTCCGGTGTCACTTCCTTATTTAGTTGTTTACATTGTTGTTGCTGCTGCTTCAGATGTTGTTATTGTTGTTGCGAGGGTTGTGAAATTTGAGCGCTGTTACCTCCTCTTACTAGTCTCTACGTCCTTGTTACAGTTACTGAAGCAGCGAAGCAGCAGCGTCTGGAGATGGGGACGTGAGGCAGCAGAACATTTCAACTTAATTTAACAGTCATCAAATGGAATTCAATTTGCCTGAAAGGCGCACACAAATATAGAAAGAGAGAGAGTTGGGGGAACAGAGCAGAACAGAAATTGAGAAAAACAAAAACACAAATAACAAAAAGCTTAACCCCACCCACTCTCAGCACCTGGCTGAGTATTGTCATTAGTCGCATTATTATTGGGGGCTATTATGTAGTAATCAAATTTATAGTACACTTTGCAACACTCAAAGTTAAGGGCGGGGAAGGGAAAGGGGTGAACGAAGGGCAAGACAAGGAGGTAGCCGCCAGGCAACGTGGAAAACAAGTCGGAAAACTTTTATGACGCCAAAAATAAAACACAACAGCAGACGAAATTATTACAATAAATGGGCAAAAAGAAAATGGAAATTGAAAATGAGTTGTGTTCCACACACGCACACACACTCACACATAGATACAGTGTGCACAAATATTTGTGTCATTAAACAAATGACAAACGAATTGGTTTTAACATGAAAGCAGCTGGCAGCGAAGTTGGCAGAGACGCCAGCGCTGACATGCAACAGCGACAACTGATAAGCCAAGCCAAGGCGACGCTCTGTTAAAGCTAACAGACGGAATTAACATAACAGCTTGACAGCTTGCAGCCACCCCCACAGTTACACACACTCGCATACATACACACGCACGTAACTATTTTACAGCGCTGAAAAATTCGCTTGGCTGCCTCTGCTGACGCTGCGGCGCTGCAACAATGCAAACGCAAACTTTCTCGCTGCCGGCGTCGCTGCCAGCGCCAACAGTCTGTCCGCATTCGGTTCGTGCTGCTTCGCTGGCAGCGGCTCGTGCCAGTTATAAACCGACTGCCAAACGACTCACGACAGCAGCAGCAGCAACAGCCGCAGCAAGAGCAGCAGTCGCAGCTAAAGCAACAGCAGTACTAAAAATCAACAACAACAACATCGACAGTAGCAGCAGCAGCACCAGCAAATCAGAAGCCGAAAAGCAAAAGAAAAGTGACGCTAGACGTGCGTTCAAAAATAATAATAATAAAAAACTAAAAAAAAAAAAACAACAACATTAAACATTAAGTGTGGCAAACTGTGCAAGCGGCTCAAAAGTGTTTACACAGCAAAAGCAACAATAACAAAACAACAACAGCAACAAGAGGCAAAATATTATCATAGAAAATCGAATGAATTAAAAGTGCAACATCTTAGCACATTTGCTCCACGTGAATGTTATTTAGAAAAATTATATTTATTTAAGAAAAAAAATCTATTTGTTTATTCTTTTAACAATTCAATGAATTATTGAGAAGAAAAAAATTGGCAAAGAAAAACTAAAAAAAAATGTGATCAACTTGAATGTAGCAATAATAAAAAAAAAAAAAAAAAAATAAATTAACAAAAAAAGAAAAATGAAAATGAATAAAAATATAATTAAATTTAAAATAGACATACAAAATTAAGTATGTGATCAAAGCATGACAATAAAAACATGATTTAAAAAAGAACATGCTCGTAAAAAAATTTAATATTAATGAAATTAAAAAAAAAGCATTACTTAAATTTTAAAATTAAAAAAAAAAAAAAAAATTATAAATTAAAAAAAAAGACAAAAGTTAAAAAAGAAAATGCATTTATTAAACTTAAATAACAAATTTATTGCAAGCATAAGTTAAAAGTTTTGCCAAGAAAATTTCTTTGGAAAAAAATTCATTGAAATTTATACAGAAATTCATTTCTGATATTTAAATATTTCCTTGGGAATTTCCCAGTAGCATTTACACAAAATTGTTCAAAATGTTATTTTATTTTATTATTGTTTCATTTTTTCGTCGATTTCGAAAGAAATTTCATCGAGCCTCTCTAGAAATGTTTTTCTCATCGTGTTTTTATTTATTTGACATTTGTGTTAGCTCTGAGAAATTATGCATGGCGAATGCAAATTTATTAGCTGCAGACTCATTAGATGGACTCTCCCTCTGACCTCTGCCACCTACGACTGCCCCGCCCACTGCCTCTCAACACAGTGCCCCTCCATCTGACAGACAGTTTTTTTCATCTCGAGCGAAATTAAAAAACATAAATCAAAATATGCTAAATAAATCAACGAAAATTGCGCAAAAAGTGCGGACAATCTATCAGGGAATACCCCTACCCTTAGCACCCCTACTTCTGGCACCCACCACCCACTTCCTCGTTTGCCACTTAATCAAGTGAAGTGCAGCCAAAGGAAATACAAAATACAAAAAGAACAAATAAATAAGTCAATTAATTAGACAGATTTTTTGAATATTAAAAAGAGAAGGCAAAATAAGAGGAAGAAGAAGCAAAGCTATGAAAAATTTGATATTCATGAATTTCAAATGGGAAACACTGCCAGAAATTGGCATAAAAAATGATTTGAATTCATGAGGGAAATGCTTTTAGTACACAGCACGAAAAAATCTTGATACAATATTAATTTCAATAGCTGTGTGTGTGCGTGTGACAATAGGAAAAACTACAGCTAAAATTAAAACCATAAATGCATTTATTTTGATATTTCTTAATTTTTGATGTCCGGGCATTTAGAATTAGTTGACTTGAGAGAGAGACAGAATCATACACTGTAAAAAAAATTAATTCTGAAGTTAACAAAATAAAGCTTTTTGGAACAAATTTTGGTATGCTAAAAAAATTGTTTTTTTTTTTTTTTTTTTTAAATCTATACAAAACAAATTTTCATATTTCTCTCTCTCTCTCTCTCTCTCCTTCTATGTATATTAGCTTATTCTTAATATTAATATAGATTTGTTAAGCCTTGACTATTTAACACAAAGCATATATAAAGATCAACGAATTTCGAATTTTACCTATCGCGATTTCAATCAGAACAGCTCAAGTTTTTCTCTCAGTGTGCGCATAGATAAAACAGCACATAGACAAAACAGAGGCACGAATTGTGCATGCAACAACTGCCATAAAAAAACGCTGCCGCAACAAATGCAAATGGCCAGAATGAAAATGGCCAAAAAAAAATGCGGTCGTTGCCGATCATTCGAACACACATACACGCGCTCATACACACACACATTAAGAGCCATAAT